CTTTAGTCAGCTGTATACCACTCAAGTCTGCAGATTGGGGTAAGTTACAAAAACTGTAAAACGAATATATTAATAAAACTAGATGGACGTCTGTGCTTTGCTAGGAAATTATGTGCTCAGGCTTGATAAATTGACACTTGCAGCCTGAAACTTAATGTAGAATGTGTAACTCTGTAGCATCAGAGTGTGTTAATATAATGCAACTGGCAGTTGGAACAGAGAGGGAGGGGGAGTAGAATGTCCCAGCCCACAGTATCCATCGGTATTCATCTGGCTAGCATCCTGTCAGTGTGTGAGAGTTGAGGGGTGTTTGGAAACTCAAACAGTATTTGCTGTGTGAGCAAGAAGCAGGCTGGGCGTGGCTTAGCTCAACTGTTCTGTAGTAAAGCTGCTTGCTGCTGTGCAAGTAAAACTGAAAGTGAAACTCCTCTGCTTGTGTTTTGCATCTGGAACAGATTTCTTTTGAGGTGGGGAGGGGGAGTACAACTCCTTAGCATCAGAGCGTGTTAATAATAATATAGGAAATACTAATGCTCTGATGGTCATTTCGAAAAATCCTTTCTTAGTGAGCCTAGAAGCCAAGTGGAACATACGTGGCAAATTTCAAGTTTGTAGGCTTTACGGTTCTGGAGATTTCATAATTAATGCATGAGTAGTTTTCGCTTTTATATATATAGATAAACACAAGATCGGCTTCTTTTCTTACTTAATCTTTTTGTGATTGGGGCTTAGTTGAAGAAGGAAAGCCTTTCAAGAAAAGTTGCCCTTAATTGTTGCCCATCTATAACTGTCACAACGATATTAGTTAGGAAGATGGCCTGAAACAAGTGTAAAATAGCTGTCACTGCTCTCTGCTAACACATGCAAAACCAAGGGGAACTTGTTCTATTTTTTATTTTTGAACAGTGAGTTGCTACAGCCAGCTTCAATGAACACACAACTATGAATGTTCTTGGAAAGAGGCCACAATGGAACCACAGAATAAGGGATGAAAAAGGACTTCCTTCCTTTTATCATTTCTGTGGGCAGATGTTGCCATTTTGTGCTCTTTGACTGAAACCAAACAGAGACATGTAAACTGACACCATCCTAGCATTTCATTCAAGAAATCTCACTATCATAGCTATTGCCTTTTCTGGCAGTCTTGGCTACCAAAAAACCCCAAACATTTTAAATCATCCTATGTCTCAAGTACTATGTCTCAGATAATGCACCACACCTGGGTATCAGGAAACTGAAAAGCTCCAAATTATTTGATTTCTTTTTTTAAAAAGAAATGTAATAGTTTTGACTGCTAGCCTACACAGGCATGGAAGAAGGAAGAGACAATAATGTTACTGAGGTAAATAAACTTTTTTTTTTCTTCTCCTTCCTCAAAAAAATTCTTTGCAATTTTAATCACCTTACTGAAAAGTAGTTTACTTCTTAAAAAAAAACAAACTAAAAAACAAACAAACCAGGGGGTAGGAAAGAAGGCCCTTTTAATTACTAACATATTGCAGAGGTTAACAACCTGCGCCTGAGATAGACTGGCCTGGAAAACATGGATCTGAAACATAAAATGTGAACTTTTCCATTTTGTTTTATGTACAGTGGCTGTGTAGGATTATCAGGCCTGGGGATGGCCATTCAGCTCTAAAAGCAACACAAGCAACAACAAATGTTTTAATTTGGCAAGCAAAGTGACTTTCCATTAAGTAGTACGGGTGATTTAATGGCGAAAGTGAAATGTAGAAAACAATAGATGAGTTAACTATTGCCGAACAGACTAATTTTTTTGTTTTTATTCAGGATGAGCCTGCACACCAGTGATCATATTGTTTATGCAATGTCCTTAGGAAAAAAAACAACCTTGTGTTTATTTGTCTGGCTCATTACTAGGGTAATAGTAGTTCAGTCAGAGATGCCTGTAGTGTAAATCATACAATAGAGAGATCATCAGCATCTTTCGGTATCATTTTAGATGTAATGCTTTCCAACAGAAAAAGTACGTTTGCATACTTGAACGTTGATATGAAGTACAAATGAAGCGTTGTCTTGTCCAGTACTCTCTTCCCATAATGATCACACAAATCACATTGTCTCGGATTGCAGCTATCCAAAAATTATACATGAAACTATATAGGTGAAGAATGCAACCAGAGGCAGCCTCAACAAGAGGCAACCTCAACGAGAGACAGCCTCAACGAGAGACAGCCTCGGGCATTTCCTATGGCAGAAGCTCGTTTAGTTGTTTTATACTGACTGTACCCTGAAATACCCTGAGATAAGGCAATATTTCACTAGCAATTTAGCCTAATGAAGGATCTTGGCAGGCCCAAGGCAGTATGAATCCATGGAGGTAATGCACGTATAAATACATTCAAAGCTGGTTTAACACCATGGTTTTGATCCTGTCACCTGCTCCACCCTCTTGCTCCCAGATCCTCATAGGCATCATGGCTGGGTTTAACAGGTAGTGAAATGCAGCACATATCAAAGTGAGAATTCTGTGTCCTATTAATTTTGCTAAACTACAATGCTTAATGGTCCCAGCCAGCACAGTTAATACTGTACTAAAGGATTTGAGAATTAAACTCAGCAGCATATAATATGCTCTGCATGGGGATGCCCTTGAAAACCACTCAGAAGCTACAGTATAGTTTAAGGGTGTAAAACTCAATTTCATTGAGGGCTGCATCAGGGTTGTGTTTGATCTCGGGAAGCCAAGGTGGGCATGGCCAGCTTGCCATCACTCGTGTCAGGGACACCTGTGGTGTTTGTGACAGCCTCCTGCAACCCTCTGCCAACGAAAACGGAGCTTGTGGACCCAGTTAGACTCTCAAAAAGAAACTTTCATGTGACAGTAGTACTCATGGTTTTTGTACCTGCTCTGATCATACATTGGGAATGGACTGAAATGTCGTCTAGACATGCAGAAGAATAAGATGGTAGAATCTATTCTACTATTTCAGGTTGCAGAATGTGGCAAAATTCCCCTCAAAGTAAAGAAACAAAAACGTTACAAAGCTTCTTGGCCTGGTTGCTTTCCTTCCTATGAGATTTTCCAGGAAGACAACAAACATCAAAAACAATTATGTGCAACCTGAAATACCGGTAGCAGTCAGTTCAAACAGTCTACCATTTTATTCTGCTGAGTATGGAGACCAAGTCTAGTCGAAAGATCATATGTGAATCCTGTAAGAAGCTGAATCCTCCACTTTCATAAGAATGTTGGCTTTGGGAGGATAAGAAGCCACAGTTTAAGCCCTGAACTCAAGTGGCTTTTTTTTTATTGCTAAAAAAGATTGAGCTTTTTAAACCTTTCTTCTCAATATATTGAGTCAAAATGTCTGTCCATAGTCATCTTTACTTCTTTGCCATTTTAAAAAATTATTTCCAATTCCTAGAAGTGTGATGTACATCTTTCTTTGATTCGTGATTAGTGTGATTATTTTGATTGATTACTGTTGAGGGAGGCTTTCTCCACCATGGAAACTCCAGAAATGTTTGGATTGCAACTCCCCAAATTTCTAGGCAAAATTCTAGGAGCTAAACTCCCAACATATGTTTCAATCTCACTGCATAGATTAGACCAGGAAATCAACTCCACAGAAAGGCTAAAATGACTTTTATTGAGATTGGCTCGAATAACATAATCTTGCAGTCTGATTATTCTGCACCTCTACTCCTTAAAGTTCAGTGAATTGGGCGTTGACTTACCTGAACGCTTCATCTGGTTGTTCTGGGTCCGGTGGTCAGACTGGGGGGATCATCCTCACTCCGAGTTGATTGATTGAGTCTGCTAACTGAGAAGCTCCGCCCTTCCGCCTTGCTTCCCAGCTTTTTGACGAAAGACGATACAGCAGACCGACACGTAGAGCTGTCAGAGATAAAGGCAGATCGACAGGCCGGCCGAACCGACGAGGATCCAGCCAGGGAGGGGCTGACCACCGGACCCAGAACAACCAGATGAAGCGTTCAGGTAAGTCAACGCCCAATCTCGTTGTTTCTGGGTCCGGTGGTCAGACTGGGGACATGCCCAAGCAAAGGCCCTATAGGGAGGGACCCACCCGAGGAGGAGAGGCTTGCCCCCTATGGACTTGTTGGAGAACCCGACGGCCAAAAGCCGCTTCTGCCGAAGCAAAGCGGTCCAGCCGGTAGTGCCTAATGAAAGGTGTGGGAGACGCCCAGGCGGCCGCTCTACAGACCTCCTCAATGGATGCTTGCGTAGCCCAAGCCACAGAAGTAGCTGCGCTGCGAGTGGAATGTGCTGTGATATGGCGAGGAACAGGAAGTGACTGGCTTTCGTAAGCTTTGGCAATGGTAGCTCTGATCCAACGCCCCAGGATGGGCGCGGAAACCTTCCTGCCTAGAGAGGCAGGTTGGAAGGATACCAGGAGGGATTCTGATTGCCTTATAGTGGACGTCCTCTTAAGATATATACGTAGGGCACGCCTAACGTCTAGGGTGTGCCAAGCCCGCTCCAAGGGGTGGGAAGGGTTAGGGCAGAAATCAGGCAGGATAATCTCCAAGGCCCGATGGAAAGGGGAATTGACTTTAGGGAGAAAGGTAGGGTCTAGTCGGAGCACTACCCTATCTGGGTGGAAAATGCACAGGTCAGCCCTCATAGAGAGGGCTGCTAGCTCTGATACCCTTCTAGCCGAGGTAATGGCCAGGAGAAAGGCCACCTTGTAGGAAAGAAAACGAAGTCCCACCTCTCTGAGAGGTTCAAAGGGAGCCTTCGTAAGGGCGTCCAGGACCTTGGGAAGGTCCCATGAAGGGTACCTATGAATGGGAGCCGGACAGATGTTAGATGCCCCCCGGAGGAACTGTCTAATGAGAGGGCGACTGGAGAGGGAGGCCTTGGAGCCACAGCAAAGGATGGATGAGATGGCTGCTACTTGCCTGCGGAGTGTATTGGGTGCGAGGCCAGCATCCAGACGATCCTGAAGGTATATCAGCACCTGTTCCGTGGAGGCGGCAGCGGGAGCGATGGAATTCCTCTGGCACCAGGAAGAAAACGCCCTCCAGGTGGAGTCGTAAATACGGGTCGTCGAAGGTCGACGAGCCGCTTGGATGGTGGCGACGACCCCAGGAGGTAGCTTCCGGTTACTCAGCAGGCGCCGCTCAATCTCCAGGCGGTGAGTTGTAGCCACCCGGCGTCTGGATGGAGAAGAGATCCTTGGCGCAGAACCAGTCTGTCCCGAGGAAGACGCCATGGATGATGAATGGATAAAGCCCTCAGGTCTGCGAACCAAGGACGCCGGGGCCAATGGGGCGCGATCAGCAGCAGTTCCGCCTTCTCTTGAAGCATCTTCCGAATGACTTTGGCCACCAGAGGTAGAGGTGGGAAGGCGTACAGGAGACCGGGAGGCCAGTCGCTGTGCAGAGCATCGACGCCCTCCACTTCCGGTTCTGGAAACCTGGAGAAGAATCTCCTCACCTGACGGTTGATTCGAGTGGCGAACAGGTCCACCACCGGAGTTCCGAATAGCAGCGTGATCTCTGAGAACAGAGCCGGATCCAGGGCCCACTCCCCGGGGTCCACAGTGGCCCGACTGAGCCAGTCCGCTTGGGTGTTGGCTACCCCCGAAATGTGTAATGCTCTCAAGGACCTCAGGTGGGCTTCTGCCCAGCTCCCCAACCTCTCGGCTTCCTGCATGAGGTGTCGAGACCGAGTCCCCCCCAGACGGTTCACGTGGGCCTTGGCGGCCACGTTGTCGGTCCTGACCAGAACATGTCTGTTCCGAACTTCGTGGGAGAACACCCTCAGGGCTAGGTGGATGGCCCGAAGCTCTAGCCAATTTATGTTGTGTGTTAGATCGGATTTGGTCCAACGGCCCTGGGCAAAGGACGATGACAGGTGGGCTCCCCAGCCGTGAAGGCTGGCATCTGTGGTCAGGACGAGGTGCTGGGGTTCCCTGAACTCCCTCCCCCGAAGAAGGGCATCCGAATTCCACCATTGAAGTGACTTGAGGACCTTTGGGGGAAGGCGAACCACCCGGGGGGAAATCCCCAACTGCCTTTTTTGGTAGGGAAGGAGGAACCACTGTAGATGTCTGCAGTGGAGGTGAGCCCAGGGAACTATCCCAATGCATGACACCATTTTCCCTAGGAGTTTCGATAGTGACGCCAGGGAAGAGCCCTTCCCTGCTGTCACTGACCTGACCAGAGACCGCAGGCTGGAGAGGCGGTCCTGTGAGAGGTAGACCCTGCTCTCCTTCGAATCTATGACGGCCCCCAGGTGTTGTATGCGGGTGGCAGGGTTCAGGAGGCTCTTGGCAAGGTTGACCGAGAACCCGTGTTCCCTCAAGACTCGCAGAGTGGTGGCTAGGTCTTGGTGCGCTGCCTGCACTGAGGTGGATTGGATCAGAAGATCGTCTAGATAAAACTGCATTCGAATGGGGAGCGTTCTGAGATGGGCCGCCAGGACAGACATCAACTTTGTGAACACCCGGGGGGCGGAGGAGAGGCCAAATGGAAGGGCCCTGTATTGGTAATGGTTGTTGGCAAAACAAAACCTGAGGAAGCGACGGTGGGATGGAAGGATGGGGACGTGTAGGTAGGCTTCGGTCAGGTCTATGGATGAGAGAAGGTCCCCGACCCTGATACCCTCCAAGATGGTCTGGAGGGATTGCATCTTGAATCGCCGATAAACAATTCGGCGATTCAAAGATTTGAGGTCGAGAATTGCCCTCCAACCCCCCGACGACTTCCGAATAACGAACAGGCGTGAATAGTAGCCTAGTCCGCGCTGCCCCTGAGGCACCGGTTCGATGGCCCGAATTTCGAGAAGATGGTGGATGGCCGAAGCCATCCGGAGCCGAGAGGATTCGACTCGAGAGATGGGGCAATGCAGAAATCGGTCTGGGGGTGTGGAGATGAACTCCAGAGAGAGACCATACCTGACAGTTCTTCTGACCCACACGTCCGACGAGGTAGCCTCCCAACGGCTGGCGAAGGAAGCCAGACGGCCACCGATGGGAAGCCCTACCAACCCGTCAGCGGGATCTGCGGAACCCTCGCCCCCGGCCTCCTCGAAAGGAACGCCTGGGCTGACCCCTGGAGGAAGAATGAAATTGGCGATCCTGGGATCGGGATTGGGCGGGCTGAAAGGGTCGTTGCCTACGGGAACCTGTGAAGCCCCCCTCCTGGGCGCGAAAAGGCCGAAAGGACGAGTGGGACCTAAATTCGACCTACGGGACAAATTTGGAAGAACGCGGCGTTTGTCTTTGGATTCCACTAACAGAGGTTCTAAGGCCGCTCCAAAAAGTTTAGGGCCCCCAAAGGAAGATGAAGCTAGTCGCCACTTAGACTTGGAGTCAGCCTGCCAGTGGCGAAGCCAGAGCAAACGCCGGGCGGCCACGGAAGACCCTATGGCTTTGGCTGCAAAGCGGGATGAATTTAAGGTGGCATCCGCCGAATATTCTAAGGCCACAATAACCTTACTAATGTCTTGCTGAGAGCGTATATCTGAAATAGGAAGTCTAGCCTGTAGCTGGCGCAACCAAAGGATGGAGGCCCTGTTGAAAAAGGATGCAGCCATGGCAGATTTAACTGACCAGGCTGTAGCTTGGTGAGACCTAACCAAGGAATTTTCTAGACGCCTGTCCTCCGGACGGAGGCTATCCTCAGGGGGTCCAGCTATGTTGGAAGAGGAAGACAATTCCGCTATTGGTTGATCAACAGAAGGGACCTGTAATAGAGAAGACAGATCAGGAGCCAAATTATATAAGCGTCTATCCACTGCGGAGGGGCTGGGACCAGAGGCAGGAGAGGACCACTGGCGTTGTAAAACATCTTTAAAAAGACCAGGTCCCGGAATCTCCTCCGTCTCAATAGAGGGTTCCTCGAATAAGGGAACCGCTGTGGAAGTCCCTTCTTTTGGGTTGGACTCAGAAGGGCGAGAAATCCCCAAGCCCGTCGTGATCTTGGCCTTGTGTAGGAGAGAACGAAATAACTGAGGCTTGAAAAGCCCCACAAATGCTGGTTGGTCGGGAGCTAAATCCTCATCTTCTGACATCTCTTGATCTAGAAGGTCAGCTCCAGCCAATGAACCCTGATCTGATTGATAGGATGAAATGGCTCTGACTTCACCTGGGGTCTGTGAGTCCTTAGGCTGAATGGTGACCTGATCAGCAGAAACTAAAGAACCCTCGACATCTACTTGGGAGCAAGCCTGCTCTGAGACCCATGAAGAGGTTCTCTGGAGTAGCTCTTGCCTAACCCCTTCCTTAATAGCCTCCCTGATATAAGAGGCCAATATGGGGGTAATGAGTGCCTCAGGAGGTGCAGCAGCCTGTTCAGAGGAAGTGCCAGGCTGATCAGGGGCCCCTGAAGCTTCAGCAGGGTTGGGGTTGGAATGTACCTCAGACTGAACCCCAAATAGGGAGGTATTGACCTCCACATGTTCTTCGGCTAGTGATGGTTCACAGTCCGGAGAGAGAGCCGGAACTGTGGCCTGAGGAGGGGGGGAGGTAGGCCTGGGCAGAGGAGGGGCCTGAGGGGAAGTGAGAGAGTCCTTGTCCTGAAGGGAGGCTGTCTTAGTGGCCTTTTGAATGGCCTTCTCTATAGCCTTATGCAGTTTCAATTCCTCTTTAGCCAAGGCTGCTGAAGATTGAGGGACTTTAGAAGACCCCGTAGAATGATGAGTTTTTCTGCTCCTCTTAGTGGGGACAGCAGCCGGTCCCTGGGACTCTTCGCCCTGAAGGCGTTGTTTATTAGCCCTGGAGGATCTCTGAGGGGCCATCCTAAATTGAGGAGCAAAGGCAGCAATCAGTATAGTTGGTACATTACCCCCCTGTGGCTGCTATGTCATGAAGCCAAAATGGCCGCCCAGGGAAATAAACAGAGGACCAGTTCCAACTAGGCCTCTAATGCCATGTGGACTATCCAAAATGGCCACCAAAAGGCCCCAATGGCGGCTTGAAGAAGGCGCGCCAAAAAGACTGCTCATAAATACCTTTAGGGCAGATCCGATCCTCGAAAGGGAGAAAACCAGCTGTCCTGGTCCACCCACGGAGTCCACAGCCGTCTGGGAGCCGTTTGCGCCGATCGGAGTAATGGCGATAAAAGCGGCTGCGAAGAAGCTCGGCGCCGCTGGGTCCTCGAGGGAATCGCCGATCTCCCAAGACGAATCTCCTGCAAGGGAGATATGGCTCGCGCAAATCACGGGAAGGCTCCAATGGACTCCAGTAGGAAACCTCCGAAGGTTTCCAAGCCTCGCAATTGCGAGCGGTTTCGGGTGTTACCCCTTCGCGCCAGGCGCGGGCCAGGCTCAACCTACTGGGAACCTCCAGCCCTCACCCAAGCCCAGAAGGCCCTCAGCGGTCTTGGGTGCAAAGCCCTTCTCGCTGGTAGCTTACCAATACGATCTGAAAGAAGTGGAGATAGAAATATGCAAAAGCGATCTTTTGCAAGGAGCTCAGCTCAAACGTGTCCTTCTCAATCGGATTGAGTCAGAAAGCTGGGAAGCAAGGCGGAAGGGCGGAGCTTCTCAGTTAGCAGACTCAATCAATCAACTCGGAGTGAGGATGATCCCCCCAGTCTGACCACCGGACCCAGAAACAACGAGATCAGGCAGGTGTCCGAGCCAAATGTTATCTGGACTTTCTTGATTTTAAAATCGCTCCAGCCCCTTTTTCCTAGGCAAGAAATCTCTGTCAAGGGAATCTTCCACATTTCTACAATAAGATGGGGGAAATGCAAAATTGGGGAAATCCAGGTTAAAAGTGTTGTTTCTGTTACTCTCGAACTCACCCAGAAGATTAAGTAATCCTTCAAAAGCTTAAAAAACAGAGGAAGAAGCAAGCAATTGTAATTTTCTTTGGAAAAGAGAAAGAGATTTGCATTGTGGGTGTTGCCTTTTTCGTCTCAAAAGCAGAGTTTGCAACATAAAAACACTTCAGAATGCTCCAGGAGGTTTTTCTTTTTTTCAATGTAAAATTTGGAATGCTTTATTACTTCATTTACAAACCAGACATATACCCTATGATTATCCAACTCAACTGTTACTATTTAAAAATTCAAACAGCAAATCTAGGAAGTGGAAAGCACTGAATCTTTGGCTAGGAATCATGATGCCTTCAAAATAAAACCCAATTATCCAAAGGTTTTACGGCTCCAGACTTTCCTATTCTAGCTTTTGAATTCACTGAAGTGGCTCTCCAAGAAACAGAGAAGGGATGGAAAGGTTAGCAATTCTCAATGAATGTGCCTCCTTTAGAATATTGTTTGCAGATACTTTGTTTTCCTAGGAAAATCCGGAATAAAAGCTTTAGTTCAAGACTGAGAAACCTGCTGTCCTCCAGGTATTGTTGAAGTCCACATTGTATCACCCTTGCCAATGTGTCCAATGGTTAAGGATAAGAGTTCAGAAATATCTTGGGTGGATAGTCATAGCCAGAGCAGGTGACGGTTCTTTATTCTGCTCTTTTGAGTTTTCTATTCAGTTCTGGTTATCAAATTTAAAAAGGATTTAGAGAAATAAGTTCATAAAACGGCAAGAGGATAAGTGAACTAGAAAGTAAATCTTATTGAAGGAATTAAACCTATTTCACCTTGAGATGAAAAGGCTCAATATCTTCCACTGCTTTAAAGGATGACAGTCGTAACCTGCTCTCTATTGTTCGAGGGTGCAGCATAGGAAATAATATATTTGAAGATATAAGGAAGGAAGACTCTAAACAAATGTTAGAAAAAGCTTCCTAACATTAAAAGCAGTCTAAGAGTGGCAGCAATTACCTAAAAAAAGAGGGAACGTTCCCCTTCATTGGATGGGATTAAACAGGGACACAATAGACATGTGTCAGGGGTGCTTTAATTTGGATTTTTCTATTGAGCAGTGGGTACAACTCAGCTGCTGCTTCCAATTATAGTTCTATTATTTTAAGCTGAACTGATATAGTTAATCAACAGATTAGGAAATTAATGACACATGTCTACCTAGAAGCATGACATATACATCCACAACACATGAAAATAGACTTTTAACATTTTAAGTAGCAAAATAAATCCAATTCCGCCTTCTTCGTTCATTGGTTTTGATGGTGTAGATTAGAAAAACTGTGATTTGGAAAGACACTAATGTCTCCACTAGACAACTAGAATGCTGGTTAGAAACCATTATTTTCATTAGATGTCTACTGTAAGAAGAGAATTTTAGGAGCACAACATGCTTGCTCTTCTCTCCCTAAATCCAGTTTGCACAAACTTTGTTATCCCAACTCTCTTTTTCCCCCTTGACAACTAGAGGCTCAGAGGGCCTTTTAAAAGATTCTAATTTAGCCCCCTCATTATTGACTCTTATCTTACAGAGTTTCAACAGAAAGATAGATTAGGAAACTTCTTGCTAGACTTAAAACTATACAAAATGAATCTCTCACAGTTATTACATAATATTACAAGCAGTGAAGTTCAGTCCCCATCACCAGCAGTAGCACCATCTCCAATAAAAATTTAAAACCCCAAGTAATAATATTTGAATTGCTTGAAATGTTTTGTCCTGAAAAACGCAAAATAAGATATTGTTTTCTCAATAGCACCCAAGGATAAAACTCTTTAATTGGCCACTACTATCTGTACCGTCGCACTCTTCTTACATGACCAACTTGCCAATGTGGAATTAGAGATCAAGGGCAACAATGTTTTCTTTGCCTCTTTTCAGTTTATTACAGAGTGTAAAATGACCATGAAGATATGGTTTAAAGGCCTCTCTATGCCTTTTTAATGCAGGTTATTAAGCACTCCATTCTCAACAGCTTGGATAGAGTGTTATAAGAGCATAATTTAATCTTGTAATATAAAGAATAACACTTTTTCAAAAAGGTAGCAGTTGCAACTTCTTAAAAAGTGTACTGTACTCAGTAAACTTGGATTTGAAAGGCCCTGAAAAGCATTCAAAGTCAGTGTCATACAGCAGTATTGTATGATGTCAAATTTGCATTTCTGGGTGATCTCAGATATATTTGCACTATGTGGCAAACACAAACATGGATGTTCCAATTGTCTTATTGTGCAAGAGCTGAGAGTGGACAATTGATTAAGATATCAATGATATTTAAAACTTGAATTTTCAAACAAATGCCAACCATCTTAATAATAAATGAAAGCCAGAGGAAGGAATGGTTCAACCACAGCTTCTTCTTTTTACTGCTTGGGGGGAAATTATATAGATAAGACTAGCATGTATGTGTGCCTATCCGTGGCTTAAATCCATAAGGAAAGCCCCTTTCCTGTGTCTTCAGAACTGGATTATCAATTGGGTGGAAAGTTGCAGGCCTTTAGGCGTTAAAAGACATTTTATTTTGTGACAGAATAGCTAATTATGTCAAATTCTTGTTAAATTGTCTCTCTCTTTATACAGCTTTTTCTCTGTTTACTTATAAATTTAGCTAATTTCATTTCTTGCCTTTCTTCCATCTGTTTAGAATCATTTACATATTGCTCCCTCCTGCATTTTCAGTTCCTCACTAAAATCAAACAGGGTAGATTTGGTCCAAAGAAAACGAATAGCCCAAAGTCACCCAGTGAGTTTGCACAGCTCATGTACTGGACCTCTAGTCCTCTCTGATACTTTTATCAGATTAACACTAAATATGTCAGCAGGATGGTGAAGAATGCTCAGTTGTGAGATGGATTTGTAACTGGCTGGTGAACCGTACTCAACCAGTAGTCCTTAATGGTGCTACATCTATACGGAGGGAAATAAGCAGTGGGATACCACAAAATTCCATGTTAGGCCCAGTACTCTTCAATATCTTCATAAATGACTTAGAAGAGGAAGTAGAAGAGGAACTCATCAAATTTGCAGATGACACTAAGCTGGCAGGAATAGCCAAAACCCCAAGAATAACTCAGGATCAAAAAAGATCTTGACAGACTTAAACAATGGGCAATATCCAACAAAATGAAATTTAATGTGGAGAAAAGCAAGATTTTACACTTAGGCAGGAAAAACCAAAGGTACAAGTACAGATTCGGCGAAACCTGCCTCAAAAACAGTAACTATGAGAGGAATCTTGGAGTCCTAGTGGATAATCACTTAAATATGAGCCAGAGGTGTACAGCAGCAGCCAAAATTCTAATATAATTCTGATTTTTATAAACAGAGGCATAGAATCAAAATCACATGAAGTATTAGTATCACTTTATAAAGCCTTATTAAGACCAAACCTGGAACAATGCATCCAGTTTTGGTCACCACATTACAAAAAAGATGTTGAGACTTTGGAAAAAGTGCAGAAAAGAACAACTAATATTATTAAGGGCCTGGAGACAAAAATATATGAAGAACAGTTGCAGGATTTGGGTTTGGCTAGTCTAGAGAAAAGAAGGACGGGGGGGGGGGAGACATGATAGCAGTATTCCAGTATCTGAGAGGCTGCCACAAAGAGGAGGGGGGTCAACTTATTTTCCAAAACACCACAAAGCAAGACAGGAAACAATGAATAGAAACTAATCAAAGAGACAAACCTGGAATTAAGGGAAAATTTCCTAACAATGAGAACAATTAACTAGTAGATAGAACACCTTGTAGAATACCTTGCATTCAGAAGTTATGGATGCTTCATAACTGGAAGTTTTAAAGAGGAGAGTGGACTTGTCTTAAATGGTATAGGGTTTCCTGCTTGTGCAGAGGGTTGGACTAGAACACCTCCAAGATCCCTTCCTGCTCTATTCTGATTCACTGATTATCATGGGAGAATTACTGTATTTTTCGGAGTATAAGACGCACCGGAGTATAAGACGCACCTACTTTTTTGGGTGAGGAAAAGAAGAAAAAGAAATCTCCCTCTGTCTCTGCCTCTGAGCAATTTTGCCTCATTGCAGCAAACAGCAAACAGCCTGCTTTACTTTCATGTTTTTAAATAGGCTGTACACCGCCCTGAGTCCTTCGGGAGAAGGGCAGTATAGAAATAAAATTATTATTATTATTATTATTATTATTATTATTATTATTATTTTCATTTTCATTTTCATTTTCATTTTCATTTTTAGCATAGCTTGATTAGCACAAGGGGGGAAAAAATCCGCTCTAGCAATTTACCTCTTTGCAGCAAGCAGCAGAGCCCTGAGCAAAACAGCTGAGAGCAAATCAGCTGAGAGTCGGGAAGCTGATCCAATCAACTTGTGCTAATTAGGCTGTGTTGAAGCTGAAGGAGCAGTTTTTTCTTGCTGTTTGCTTGCAAGGAGGTAACTGCTGAGAGGCAGAGGCCAAAGGGTGGGGGCCAGTGGGTGGGCGGGGCTACATTCGGTGTATAAGACGCACCTAAATTTTCACCCCCTTTTGGGGGGGGGAAGGTATGTCTTATACTCTGAAAAATACGGTACTCACAGTATTAGAAGATAATATACTGCTATTCGAAGGCAAGGAAATAAATCAGAATATTTGTTGCAGGTAGTCCCAAATTCTGTACAAGTAGTTCTCAACTTACAACCATTTGATTAATGACCGTTCAAAGTTACAATGGCACTAAAAAAAGTGAC